TATTGATATGTGATAAATGAATTAAAAGCTTAGAATAAAAATTTTACATTTCATACAATATTCAATTTAAACGAAGTAATTCACTTAGGTTAAAAATAGAAAAATAAGCACAAGTCACTTTTAAATAAAATTTATTTGATTTTTGCTTACTTCTTAAAATTTATAAAACTAACAAATTCAATAAATTTCAAAAGCTTTCAATTTTTCTTTAGCTTCACTATTTATTGATTCTGAATTTCAGTTTAATAAATATTTCAATAGATTCCAATAATACACAATCAATAATTTACTATTACTATACTAATATTCCTAACATTTCTTCTTTGATTAAATAGTGAAATATCAAGATTGATTTTAAAAAAGTTCATTTTTAGTTTGGTAAACAATATTTTCTTACAGATTTTTATTAAAGTTTTCTCTTCAAAAAAGCAATTAACATGCAAAATCCTGTAAATTCTACTGCATTTACACAGTTTGATTTAAAGTTCCATTTCAAGAAGCTCTATACTGCTTGAATAAAAATTGAAAGTATTAAAATTGCTACTTTTTATATTCGAAAATCCTTCATAATAGTCTTTCCATTGTCCCAAAGAAACAAAGATTATATTCTTGATTTTTCATTTAATTCAATGAATAACTTTCATTCATATATGAAGAGCTGGCATGCAAAACAAGTTATATCCAATTTAAAAAAAAAACATTTTTGCTATGGCATTTATTCCTTACTAAGCATAATACTTTCTGAAGCAGCATAAGTGAAAACAATATCACTGTTGTTTATAGCATTGTATAAATTGTTAGTCCATGCAAATCAAGTTAAATTCAAGCAACACCAACATGCATCACATGCCATAGACTTGTTTTGTGCGCCAGTTCTTTATAAAAATCTATGAAAAAATAAATGAAGAAAATATTGGTAGCTTAAACAGAAGCTTATTTCTGTAACTAGTTATAATAATCTACGGGTATACATTTGTTAGACTACAAAACCCATAGATGAATGAAAAATGAAAATTTTTTTATCATGTCTTAAAAATATTTATTTAGATTGGAATATATTTTAACTTTAAATAATGGAATTTTGAAACTGAAAGATCATTTATCTTATTTATCATTAAATCTTGTTTGCTTTATAATTTTTAATTCCACCTTTAAAATTTTGTTTGTCAATGAATATACTTTTGCATTTCTAAAATTCATAATGTTGAATTATTATATTTTCCAATTCAGGAACTAAGATGTTGACTTGTAGAACAATTCTTTATTAAAATCAGTTTAATTCAATTCACAAATATTCTAAAAACAATTATAGTTTACAGCACTTTTGTCTTTGCAATATGCATTTCAGACAGAAAATCTCTCATCAATTGCTCATGTATTTAGTGCTTATAATGTGGGTCATCATCAGTAAAACTTGGTACATAGTTACATAATGTTTAATTAAATATGCCAAATTAATGCATATCTTTTTTACACTAAGGCAAAAGTTTTGTCTGTTTTAACTAGAATTTATTATTTGTTTTGTTAATATGTGTATTTTATAAGATAATGTGATTAAATCAACACACAAGTTTAATTATATCTATACAAACACAATACATATTAGATTTTTATGTAATTATTAGTTTCCAAAATTAAAAAAAGCCATCAATAAGTCTGTGAAATACAGCAGCCAGCTATTGTTTTATGATTTGATATTACAAAAATCATAAATTTGTTTAATGCAATCTAAAATGAAAAAGGTAAAAAAATGAAAGCTTATTTCAATATAGTTAGAAACCATTCACATACCCACTTACTGAATGAATGATTTAAATACTAAAAGTAATATTACCAAATAAAAATTTCATGACACCTTAGCAACAGCATTAAGAACACATGTGAAACAGAAATTCTAAGAACCACTTTTGAATGACTGTTATAAATGAAATACAAAACTACCAAGAACTTTCGACATAAGTAAGAATAAAAAGAAGTACTATATTTTGAATTTGAGGCCTATCCAAAAATAGAATGGAAGGTCAATTTGACAGGAAAACTCAACTTCTATCATATTATTTTTTTTGGGGGGGGTCCATTTTTAAAAATCATTCTTATCTATGTAAGAATGATTAAATTTCCATTATTTTTTCCAAATAAAATCTGATAATGAAAAAATTCATTTTTAACAAGATACAACCCAACAATTACAAATTTTAATAATAATTATTCCGTTAATGTAAAATTGTATCATTATATCTGACAAATATATAATTTATAAGATTTATATAGAATTTTTGGGTTAAGTATCAGCAATGACGTCAATTATGAGTAATAAATTAACTAAAAAATTTGAGATTGTTTAACTGTGTGACTTGATAAGGTTACTTAAATATATGTATTTCATCATACATCGTTCTATATTGACAGTTTTAATTGATTAGAAAACGGGTCAAGAACTCGAACTCATCATAAATGAGGACTTAACTGACCTCAGAATTGTTTTCGTCATAGACACAAAATCTCTGTACATAAATTATCTCACAATATTAATGAATCTTTGCTTTATATTACGTTGAGAAATTTTCAAAGATTTTTTTCAATTCTTAATAAATTCTTTAATTTTATGTGTTCCCTTGTTTCCAATAAAGTAGATATTCGGAAAGATAACAAAAAGAAACCTTAGAACAGGAATTACCAACCTTTTTCTTCCATTGACAAACCCCCATATAGAAAACTCTCTCTTCAATCTACCCCTTTATTTCCCAAGATTTTATTTAATCTATCAATTGAATTATTAAATCAGTTAATGAATCTCCCATACGATTGTTATTATTATTGGTAACTCTTGTCATAACGTAACAATATTTTAAATGTATAATTGTCAATGTCCCAAAATTAATATAAAATTAATTATTATATAAATCGAGTCACTTTATTTCGTATTTTTATGTCACGTTTTTGACATTTTTATTTTAGAGAGAGTTATGTTATATTGTAGTATAAGAGCATCTTACAAGTTACATCTTACCTCAAGGATATTCTAGTGCTGATTATACTGTAAGCACTAGTTTGTCAGAGCTTAATGGGAGCTTGTATAATAGAGAAGCTTTAGTGTAATTTATCGATTTATTAATTTAATATATCCGTTTTATACTTCATGTAAAGTGTGTAAATCGTACCATAAAGTGTCTTGACTTTACTACAATGCCGGACTGCAATTTTAACAATAAACAATCATAAGAGTTCCGGTACAGACTGGAAGTTCGTACGTATGTAATCAAGCGTAAAGATCCGTAATCCTTCAATATTTGCATCTTCTATTTGAGTCTACGTTTTGGTAATTTATAAGAAATTCTGCGCCATCAAAAGTAGAATACGAATAATGTACAGTACATTGCTTCAGGTTTTCTTTTAGTCCCGCAACATCAAACATAGAGGGTACTGTAGCCATACATATGCCGTTCGGAGGNTCGTAAATTTGGGTATTTTTGTTACGTCTAGTTTGCTTCTAAACTTACATACGTTACTGATGCACCCCAGATGTACAGATGAGGTCACCTGAAGGACAAAATCTAAGGTATATCACGTGCTTGTCGTCACAGATAAAAATGTTTACCGTCATCTAATTAAAAATTTTATTATGATGTATATATTAAATAATTTTCTAATAAATTTAATAAGTAAAATAAAGATCTGAATATCATTTTGTGTGTGTGTGTGTGTAAATTTTTGCGTTACGGTTGTAGAATCTTTTAAGATAAAACAGGTTTCAATGATGGATGAATCTGTCTAAAATTATCCATTTATATCCTGTTCATTCATGGGGATGATTAGGTTCTTGCCCTGTACTCAATGCTCTCATGTAAGGTTTTTACCTTGAAATTTGTTAAATCGAAATAATAATAATTTTATATATTTAAAATTCTGCTTAAATAAATTTAGAATAATAATAATAATAATAATACACGAGAAAATATAATTATCTATCTTTAAATAATAATTAAATAGATAAATGAATATAATCTGTAACTTTCCATTTTGTACTGATAAAAAATAAAAGTATATTTTTTATTCAGGAAACAGATTTTGCACTTGGCTTAGTTTCGAATTTAACAATTGCTTGTCGTTTCTTTTTTGTTTTCCTGTTACCAAAACGGGAGGAAAATACAAATCTTAATCTATATTCATAACAAAGAAAAATGTTATTTAATAATTGAACCGAATTGCACGAATATTTTTCGCGGAAATTACCCCTGACGTCACATCACTTCTTAAAATCTAAATTAGGATAAATAACACTTGAAAAAAAAAAAAAAAAAACGATAAGGAAGTTCCAACCGAGTTTTGCTTTCCAGTTATATCCATTAATTAAAAAAATAAAATATTTTTGAATGAGTCACCTAATACTTTAGGAGAAAAAGGGTCAACGAAATGTTAGGGGCCAAGAAAGGAGAAAATTCGATAACACCCTTATAGAAAGGGGATCTTTCGGGAGCCCTTTATCTAAAATGTGGGTACCCTCATTACGCACATATATATATAAATATACGTACACACACGCTTAAAACTTTATCTTTAGATCTTTATATTCCGGTATCAGGACGGGTCAAAGAGGGATGAGGCGGGAGAAATACAGTTCATTCACTTAACCCTTCTATTAGCCTCACTTAACATTGCGGAATCGCGGTCATTTACAAAACAAATAAAACAGACTAGACGCATTCTGACGTATCTATTTACAGGTATTAAAAACCATCTCTATAAAAGAATAAGGTCACGTAGACACTTATAAAACTTTCAATATCAAAAAAAAAAGAAAGAAAAAAAGCGGAGATCCCCATAACCCACGTGATGAGAATTGGAAAAAGTGTAAAGATGCCGAAGTAATAAATTCATCTTCCAAAAAATAGTTGGAGAAAAGCGAGGTCGAGTGTGTGTGTGTGATGCCAGACGACCCAAGTTATGCGCAGGTCCCGAACCGCCTAGTAACAGCTTTAGAGACAGAGGGGGGGTGGAATAGCACGCTATATATGATGAAGCAGAGGCAACCTGTAGCTTCAGAGATGGATCCACGACTTGTCATGCTGTTGCTGATAGCCTTCATCGGTTGTCTGGTGAGTGGCATCGTTGGGTTGGTAGTGCCTTGCAAGAATTGCGCTGTACAGAAACAAAGGACTGAAGAAACATTATCTGCGGAACAATTGAAGAATGCACGTATCGAACTGATAAAAAAACAAATTTTGAGTAAGTTAAAGTTAGAGCATCCACCTAAATTAAATAAATCAACCATACCAAATATTATAACAAATGGTGTCATATTGGGGAATCCAGAAGAAGAAGTTGTGATCCATGATGGAAATATGGATGATTATTATGGAACCACACAGAATATTGTGCTACTTTCTGAGAATAGTAAGTATCTATCATCGCTGTAGGATGTCTTTTTGATTGATATTTATCATTTAAATTTTTTTAATGTAGGAAGTGAGAGTTTAAAAATCTATTTCTAAATATAACATTGCAGATTATGTAAATCTATTATTTATGTAAAAAGCATTATTATATTGCTCTAAACACTATAATATAAACAATAAATTCGTACTGGTGATAAATATTCTAGATGATTCGATAGCTAGAAAAAGTATAGACTAATCAATGGAGGGTTTTTTTTAAGATATTTGGGTTTCTATTTAATCGGGTTCAAGTGTCAAATTTGAACCACGTGTTTGCTTGTCCTTGAAATTAGCCTAGAAACTTCTAGACAATCTCCACGGCCCTTCTTCCTTTAAGAAGAAGAAGAAGAAGAAGAAGAAACAATATAGTAAGAGAAAAACACGAATATACTAAAAAAGAATGAGGTCAATTTAACTTTTTTTTTAATTAGGTAATTAGGATCAGTTATAAACAAAAACTTTCTTGCCTATGGTCTGTTCTACATCATATTTTTTTTTAAAACATTTTTCAAGAGACAAAGAAGCAAATTGACAGATCTGATTTAGTTAGATCATTATTACGTGAATTAAAATCACGTCTTGTTACTTAATTAATTAACTAGAAGTTAGTTTTATTTATTATGTTGTCTTTTTATTATCTGTTTGAACATTGATTAAGAAATAACTACAAATTACTCAACTTTTGTCATCAATTTCGTGTTTATAACCCAGTTTTGCAATAATAACGTTGAGAGAAAATCAACGCATGTTCACACAATTATGAACAGATCTTAATAATATTTTTAGTATATAGCAACTAAAACAAGTAACAGTACATTCCAAACACACAAACATAACCGGAGGACTTTAAAATGATTATAAAACTTGTAGTTTGTTATTGCTAAATTCAAACTTTCATCCCATCATGTGATCCGATACATATCATGGAGTCAAACCAAAATCAACAAAGTTGACGAAAATTATGAGGCATTCGTCCAGATTACGTAATTTCACCTTGTTTCAATGTGTTAAGGTCAATAAGCTCCAAAGTCGGCTTCTACTTTCCTTTTTCAATTGTTTTAAGAAGTGTTCTTGCTTATATTCTTAATTATGTGTTATTTTTAAATTGTTGATATTATTTCTATTTAAAATTTCCGAATTTTTTTTCTATTATATCTTATAATTATTAATGAAATTATTTATTTTTTTTTTTTTAGCCACGTCTCATCTTTGTCCACAAGCAACATCTCAGTCAGTCTGTTTTTATTTCTACGTTGATCCGTCTAAAGTTTCTACGGAATCAATAGCTTCAGCTTATCTATGGATATATCGCAAAGAGCAAGAACAACGCAATCTGACATACACCCTCTATAATATCCAGTATAAGACAAACGAAAGCGAATATTGGCAAAGAGTATTGAGAGAAGATCGTATGGAATGGGTGAGGCCAGGCTGGTATAAGATTAACATAGCTCGAACATTAACCAATTGGTTAAATTCTTATCAGATTTTCAAAATGGACTGCGAAGGATGCGACGATCAACCGATAGAAACAGATTCGGATAATAGGCCATTTATTGTTATCAATACGGATGCGACAATGCGTGTCAATAGACGAAAGCGTAACGTAGATTGTACCGAACAATCGACGGGTTGTTGCCGCGAACAATTTTTTCTGGCATTCTCCGATATCGGATGGAATGATTGGATAATACAACCACCCGGTTATACGGCTAATTACTGTAAAGGAAACTGTATAGATGATGCAAGTCTGACGAGATTTCATCACACTACCGTCATACAGCAACACCTTCAAAAAATGAAAGCTAAAAACGAAAGTACTCCGTTATCTTTATGCTGTTCTCCTTCAAGGTTGTCTTCTATATCTTTAATATACATGGACGAAAATCAAGCTATTTTTCAGAAAGTTCTGCCAAATATGATTGTAGAAGCTTGTGACTGTGTATAAAATTTGTAAAACACTGTTTTAGCTGTGTTTCGCTTTGTGTATGTTACGGGACGTAGACGAGGAAAACACAACCTTCCATTCTTTTATTTATATAAATTATATGTTACGGTGTGAATGAGTATCGCAATTATGCAATTTCCAAGAAGTAAAACTGTGAACTTCGTTAAGAAGTTGTTATTGTTGCACTGCCGGCAGTGTGAAGGTTTATTCAGTCTCTTTTATTTAAAACGTGTGAGAGTGACTTTTTTTCTATGAGAGACGAATGAAACCGGCATATTTATCACAAAAAATTATGGAACTCGAACCCACCTGAAGTATGAAAAAGAATCACATCATATAAGACACGGTTTGTTTTGTTTTTTTTTAATTATTGAATAAAAATGTGGACTTATATGACTTATAGTTTGTGTTTTTTAACTTGTTTTTATTAAAAATATAATTAAAATATATAAGAATTTGAAATTTTTTTAATTAGTAACCTCATGAATTTTAATTATAAATATAAACTATAACGAAAATTATACTCGAAACACCTATATTCCGTTTTAACATAGTGACGATGATAGCTTCCCAGCATTGCTACTCTACTTCAAGGAAATACGAACTTTACAGAGGACTTTTCTATTTAAAAATTCTCATAGAAAGTATAAAGCTAACATCAGAAAAAAAAAATCATGATATAATATAATATTATTAACCTTAAATATTATACTGATCGTCCTATAAGAATTCGTTACGACTGCATAAATTTATCGATTGTTTTAATCAATATATCAGATAAAAATTGAGTAAAAACAATAGATAAATATAACAATACATTTGAATTTTTATAAAAGTAAATATATAAATAAGAGAAAGTTATTTAAAATGTAAATTATTATAAAATTTTCAACAAGAGAAACCTTTAATTCATAAATAATAATAGAATATCTTTAAAAAAAAAAAGAAAAAAAAATTATAAGAAAATATTTACAAAAATTTATATACTAATTATTTAACTGTAGATATGTTTAATTTTATTCTACTCTTACCTGAAAAGCTTTGAATGGAACAGCTATACAGCTGTATATAACAGCTATCCGCTAGAACAGGAGGTCACGCAAGAAAGGAATAGTTACTGTAAAACTCTAATAATATACACTTTGATAATATCGATGACGTTTTAATCTATATAAAATTAGATAATCACGATTTAGCTCGTCTTTTATCGGTTCTCTCACACTCTTTTTTTGTTTTTTATAATTAATGTTTGCTGTAATAAGAAAAAAAAAGTGACAAAATATATTTAGAAACGGTCGCTATGACAACACAGTTTTTTTTTTTCCTCAAAATTAATCACTGCCATCTGTTGATAGAGAAATATTCCTTTATAACAAATTGAAATAATTAAATTCTTGAATAATAATTAATAGAATGGAATTCATTCTGTATATATTAAAATTATCTTACGATGAAAAATTGTTATCGTATGTTTGTTCTTCGAATGTTAAATCATATGAGAGAGATCGAGTTCAAAGTTCATTAGCTTATCTTAATGAGGTTATATATAAAAATAATCTTAAGGATACATTGGAATTTCAATTGTATTTTATAGAAAAGAGGAAACAATTAAATTAAACTGTGTAGATTTTAAGTTTTATAAGCCATATTTAATAATAATTATTCTGTTAATTTAAAATTGTATCATTATATCTGACAAATATATAATTTATAAGATTTATATAGAATTTTTGGGTTAAGTATCAGCAATGACGTCAATTATGAGTAANTTAAATTAAACTGTGTAGATTTTAAGTTTTATAAGCCATATTTAATAATAATTATTCCGTTAATGTAAAATTGTATCATTATATCTGACAAATATATAATTTATAAGATTTATATAGAATTTTTGGGTTAAGTATCAGCAATGACGTCAATTATGAGTAATAAATTAACTAAAAAATTTGAGATTGTTTAACTGTGTGACTTGATAAGGTTACTTAAATATATGTATTTCATCATACATCGTTCTATATTGACAGTTTTAATTGATTAGAAAACGGGTCAAGAACTCGAACTCATCATAAATGAGGACTTAACTGACCTCAGAATTGTTTTCGTCATAGACACAAAATCTCTGTACATAAATTATCTCACAATATTAATGAATCTTTGCTTTATATTACGTTGAGAAATTTTCAAAGATTTTTTTCAATTCTTAATAAATTCTTTAATTTTATGTGTTCCCTTGTTTCCAATAAAGTAGATATTCGGAAAGATAACAAAAAGAAACCTTAGAACAGGAATTACCAACCTTTTTCTTCCATTGACAAACCCCCATATAGAAAACTCTCTCTTCAATCTACCCCTTTATTTCCCAAGATTTTATTTAATCTATCAATTGAATTATTAAATCAGTTAATGAATCTCCCATACGATTGTTATTATTATTGGTAACTCTTGTCATAACGTAACAATATTTTAAATGTATAATTGTCAATGTCCCAAAATTAATATAAAATTAATTATTATATAAATCGAGTCACTTTATTTCGTATTTTTATGTCACGTTTTTGACATTTTTATTTTAGAGAGAGTTATGTTATATTGTAGTATAAGAGCATCTTACAAGTTACATCTTACCTCAAGGATATTCTAGTGCTGATTATACTGTAAGCACTAGTTTGTCAGAGCTTAATGGGAGCTTGTATAATAGAGAAGCTTTAGTGTAATTTATCGATTTATTAATTTAATATATCCGTTTTATACTTCATGTAAAGTGTGTAAATCGTACCATAAAGTGTCTTGACTTTACTACAATGCCGGACTGCAATTTTAACAATAAACAATCATAAGAGTTCCGGTACAGACTGGAAGTTCGTACGTATGTAATCAAGCGTAAAGATCCGTAATCCTTCAATATTTGCATCTTCTATTTGAGTCTACGTTTTGGTAATTTATAAGAAATTCTGCGCCATCAAAAGTAGAATACGAATAATGTACAGTACATTGCTTCAGGTTTTCTTTTAGTCCCGCAACATCAAACATAGAGGGTACTGTAGCCATACATATGCCGTTCGGAGGATCCTACCTTTTTCTACTATCTATCTCTTCTCCGTCCTTTTTTCCCTCCCCTTTCCCTTACCCTCTTTTCCGCCGGCTAAACACCTCGTGTACGGCCGAAGTCTTTCTTGTATGTATGTATGTATGTATATATAGACATGTATATGTATTATTCGTAGCATCTATATATGTATGTAGCTAATATATTTATAATTAACTACACGATTTTAGGTATATATACACCTTAAATATGTATATTTATATATATATACAAGGTTATTCGTAAGTCTCGCTGGGATTTCGGTTCTCGATAGCGCGATAAACAGATCGGACATTGCAGAACGATTTATACCAATAATATAAAGAATCTCTTGTTTCGGCTGTACCTTACAGGTTTTCAGTAGTTTCACTTCTAGTGATGCATAAAACATCAATAATATATTCAATTCCTGCCATACATTATCACTGTAAATATCAACGACTACATGGATGATCGTTTCTCGTAACTGTGCTAAATCATTTTGCATAGGGGACACGTACAAAACGTTTCTTTGAGGTAACTCTCATAAGAAAAACTCACATTCAGGTGACCGTGGAGGCCACAAAAGAATAGGAGAGTCGTCGTGAGAGGCACGTCCAATCCAACGACCAGTATGTTCAGCAATAAGATGATGGCGATATCTGAACGAAAGTATGGTGGAGCTCGGTCTTGTTAGAAAATGAAGCCTTCGCAAATTGTCCTCTAATGTGGCATTAGCCACTGTTGCAGCATGTCTAGATAATACGGTACCAAGTAAGTTTGCTCCGCAAAGAAAAATGGGTTGTACACATTAGAAGAGGAAGCAGCATAAAACACATTCAATTTAAGGGAATCACGGAATAATATCATATAGATAGACCTAATCGTTTTTTGTTTGCTTTTTCATAATGAGTTCATTAAGAAAACTCCGAAAATATTTCAAAATAAACACAAATTGCCAGCAAACGACAACAATTAGATTCCAACTTCATCGGTGATTGTTACCGAATGGACAATACAAACGCCATTGTTGTTGGCCGCAATCCAAACGCCATTTTCGTATCGCCGGCACTTCCCAAGAAAAATACTGAAATTTTTTCTTGTTTTAGAAGAAATAACGGAAGAAAAAGCTGAGAAATTGCAGAATAATCGAAAGAAAAGGGAAAGACAGAAACACCATATTTCAGTAAAGGAAACAAAACTGAAATAAAACAATTTGAAGTCAACATTAGCCAACTAACAACAAATTACTATAGAAGGAATCCATTTTAAACGAATTCGTATTAAAGGTAAGTCAGCCCGGAAGGGCGAAGAAAGAAGATCCAAGTCAGGGTGGAAGACAGTTAGTTATCTACACGGGGTAGACATAATAAGATAACACTACCATTGTGCGATAAAAATTTAATAAATGTAATTGTATAAATTGTAATAAGTAAATATTGTCGTATTTTGTAAAATCAATATTGTAACTTATTAAAATCTGTGCTGTAGTTTGTATGTATAAATAAAATTAAAAAATCATATATTCTAGTATGCATTTTCTTTATAGAATACAAACACATTATATCAGTTGATTGGGAAAAATTATCAAGTTTACCAATAGACGAAAATAGTATTCGACGTTTCAAAATTATGTTAACTGGGATTTATGTTAACGAAATAAATGCCAACACACACACGCGCGCATATCCACGAATATTTTTCATTTTTATTTATTTTTTTGGGAGTTCAGGGAGTTTCAAAATGCCAAGATTTGCAAAAAACTCAGAGGATTAAATATGACACAATTGCAATATTTTCTCTTGTTATATCTGAAAATCTCTCTTGGAAATATAAAGTGTCCCTTTCAAACATTAAATCCTATACAAAATAACTATGTTTAATGTATTATGTACAGGTACGAATGCGTGTCAAAACAAATCGAGACATATTTTTCTTGTCAAAAATATAACAAGAAATTCCGGATTTATATCATTATAAAGAATGATTATTGATGTATGGCGCTTCGTTTGGTCACTGGAGCACGCAAGGTAGACGTCACGTGTCACATTATACAGTATAAGCTATGCCACAATGCCGAGTGGTCGAGGTAAAACAGCCTACCGCTCTGGGATCAAATCAGGCCGAGTTGGAAAAAAAACCCGGTAATTTTTCATGTGGTGATCTGTTCCTCACCATTGTGGGCCTGGAGGTTATAATGAGTTTTTAAAATATTTAATATATAATTTTGAAGTCCATTATAACCGGACATATTTTGATACTACCCGGTATATATAACAGAATTGGCCCTATGCAATAGATTTGCCAGATTTGGCTACCCTTTTTTTTAGTTTGGCGTAAAAAATATCATTTGGCGCATTGGCTACTTTTTGGGCTACACATGGTTGACTTTGCTACATTTTGGCTACATATTATTTATAAATATATTACAGTGGGTGATCGGTTAACGAACATAATCCGTTCCAAGACTTTGTTCGCTATCCGAATTGTTCGTTAACCGATTACTGATTGACCATAGGTTTTTATTGGAATTTGATTAATTCGTTCTAGACTCCCCAAAAATAAAAAATATTGAATAAAGTTCTCTTTTTTAGTAGAATTTTTCTAATTGAGTGGTCTTTTCGAACCGATATACTTTCTTACTACGTTTATTTATATACAGGGTGGGCCAACGAAAACGAAACGGCAGAGAAATCGTGTTCGTCCAAGCATATCGTTCGGACAAGTCGATTTTATTCTCAAAGGAGACATCTTCAGCAATAAAGTTTTTGCGATTCTGAATACAACAGACAACAAAAAATTTTAAAAACTCGTTCATTTTTTATTAACTAAACAAACATTTATTTCAAATAAAGTAAGAAACATAAGAAAAAGTTATCAAGTATTCAATAAATGTTAGAATTGAGCACCACATCTCTGTCGATTCATTTCTTACTGGACGTTCACGTCCGGGGTCGCGTCTTTTGTTAGCCATAGAACCCGTTAACTAAAACTTTTCAACCAAATCCAGAACGTATTTTGCATTACAATATTTGTTTGGATAGCGTTG